AGATTAAATACGGTTGCTGAAAATACATCCGAGCGGCGATAAACAAGACAGGATTATGTGTTTAAAGCTGAACAAGCTCACTGAAAATGTGTCTGCCGCTTACCGATAAAGATACAATCTTGAGTGGCAAAGCTATAAATATCCTTGGCTCTCGGCAATGCTCTTTAATTTAATATTTTAAATAAAGTTTCTCAACATTTAAGAGAGTAATCCAAAAGAAATATAAGTCATAAGCCCTTGAAGAAAAGATTAAATCTTAAGTGGCAAGAAAAGCAAACATCCTTGAGCTGAGTTGGCTCTTGATTGGTTTTTTCTTGGCTCTGTTTGAGTGCCTCCTGCCGACTCCCACATCAAGAGCAGCCCACTCACAACTGGCACAAGGACAGCCACTGCAACAGCAACAACTGCTGCCGCTACAGCCCCATCTAGAGCCGATGTTGCACTAGCTGCTAATTAACTGGCTAACCGAGCTGACTCTTTGGCTTTTGCGGGGGCGTCCTAAGGTCTCCAAGGGAGAGCTTGTATGTAATTCAATCAATTGAAAAACAACAGCAACTTCCAGCCAGCAACTGGCAACGGGCAACGGGCAAGGGGCAGCTGCAACAGCAACATCAGCAGTCAATGACAATTGGGGCCAAGACACAAGACAAGAGGAAAAACACAAAGACAACAACAAGTAGAGGAGACGACAGCCGACAGAGGACAGAGGACGGGCGGCGACCACTACAAGGGTCACCTAATCAATGGGTCTGCCGTCTGGCCGATGTTGCAGCAACATGTTGCTGCCTCGTCTGCGGCTGTCAATAGAAGCGATTTGAAATTGTTGCACATTTCCCGTGTATGTCAGGCCACTCGCCATGTGAGTGGGAGTTGCTGTTGAGTTGCTGTTATTGCGTGTTGCTGCTGCAACTGCAACGGCAACGGCAACTGCAACTGCAACAGCAAGTGTCAAATGAAACGACAACGGCAACAGCCACACTTTCAATGGAGTTAATGAGCTTATTTATGGCCAGCAAGGACAGGTACAGCACTTTATGATAGTTGGGAGGAAATGTGAACAAAAAATGGAGCTACAATGAACTCTTCACGTTATGAAAGGGAAATGGAGGAGAGAGAGCTGCTGTCCAAATCAGAATCTTCCATTTACGATCACTTCCTCCTGACAAGCACTTTTAGAGCTTCACTCACGACTCCATTCCGACCAATTCCTGCCATTTAGCCGTTTGGACGCTTATTTCTTTTGGGCCATAAATCAAAGGCGAACAAACGAAAGTAAAGTGTGCAATGCAATTACAAATTAAAACCATTGGCAGCCAAATGGCCGCAAAAAGTCCAGCAAAAGTATGTGAAGCGAGGCAAAAACCATTGGCGACATTGCGAGGCGATTTAATGAAAAGCGCGCCATTGGGAAACGAATTTTGAAATTATATAAAATGGCACAAAAAAATTAGAAAACGAGGGGATACAAATCAAAACCTGGGCTTAGTTTCAGCTGCTTTGGGCCGGTTGGGAGAGTGGAGTGAAAGAGGTAAAGAAAATTAAAGTCACGGTTTCTAGCGTGTAAAGTGTGCGGCGACGGCTGGGGCTGCTGCTGTTGCAGCGACACTTGCCACGGCAGCAGCGGCAGCAACAACAATCAGACAAACAGTAGAATGTAAATGTCTTTCTGGTCAGGATGGTTGTTGTGGCTGGTGTAGTTGGTATATAGTTGGTGCCACAAAATCCAAATTGCTTGGCAGCCATCGACAACACAGCAAACCAAACAAAACAAAAGGAACGGGCCAACAACCTGCAATTCTCCGCAAGTTGCAACTTGCAACTGCCTCATCAATTGATTAAATTTGCAACAGCACACAGATCGTCGTCGATGCCTTTCACTTAACAGTGCACGATTTTTATTTATTTAGATTTAGATTTAATTTTGCACAGCCTTCCCTCCCAGAGCTTCCCTGCTTTTCTTCCTCAAACATTTTATGAGACAAAGCTCTGCTGAAGTGCTAGAGAAAATCCCAACGCATCCCGGGGAACGCAATTGAAATGTTTGCTGGAAATCTACAAACAATAAGCATGTTTGGTTTTTGGCCATTTTTGGCTAGGAGCAGCCGCCGACTGTCCGATAAGATCTGCCAGCATTTGTTAGCCTGCCCGGCCACCAACAAAGTCGTCGCCATTGTTGGCAAACGGCAGTCAGGTGTTGCTTTTATTGTTTTACAATCACCACCAACAGAAACAGTTGAAAAAAAAATACAACAGAAAACAAATTAAATAAAGGAGGAAGAGGAGCAGTGGGGCCGATCCGATCCGCAAGTATTGGCATTGGCCAACTTTCACAAGCAAATCTCGGCACAAAGTCGAGCCATAAAAGCGCAGCACAATTCAAATAAAATGAAAATAGAATCAAATAAACTTTTCTCTGCCAAGGCAGCGAACAAAAGGCCACAGTGAAAAATGTATACAAATAAAAAAAAAACTCCAAGCTGCAAACTGCAAACTGCAAGTCAGGTCATAAAGAAAGCCCAGGGACAGAGTCGGAGTCGCGAACCTGGCCAACAGGCCAAATGCAAATTTTCGCTTGCCTCCCAAAAAATAGTCGATACAAAAAACAACAAACAGAAACAAGGAGTACGACTGACCCAAAACAATGGCCAGCACTGTAAGGCATCGATTCGAAGTGTTAACTGATTGTCCAGATACGCGAGGATTGATAGCTCCAAACAACCGCTTCAGGACATTTGATAGGTGAGCCTGAAAAACATCTCAGAGAGATCTCTTCATTACCATTGTGTGTAGAGTGTATGCCGTGGCTAAGCCTTCACATTTAAATTTTCTCCTTGGGTTTTTCCCACACACATATGAAGGAATCTGGCTAATTGCAGAGCTGGCCATTTAGAAAACTCTTTTCGCCGGCTGCCCCATTTCGAGAAACCTGCAACGTTGCTCCTTCCCCTTACAATAACATCCAAAGGAACATCATCTCTAACTGGCCATCAAATAAATCAGCAGCCAAGAGGCACATGCAAACACGTCTGCTTCTATACACTATAAAAAAATCGAACTAACTCCATAGCCGAATTTACAAAAAATTTTAAGTCAAGAGTAATGGTTGGCAATATTATATTTTATTAATTTTCCAAAATATGAATATTTTTCGTATCTTATTTTTCTCTGTGTAGACTTTTTCCATCCAGCAGTCAACAGTCACCAGTTGACGGTGTCCAATTTGCCTTTTTTTGGCCATCTCAGTTATCAGAGTGCGCGTTTTAATGAGTTCGAGTACGTTTTATGAGCGAAAAACTCTTGAGAAATCCGAGAGAACGCACCGCACCAAAGTGGAATGCACACAAAAATGTTAGAATCTTGCCGCAGCGATAAAACTTTCGCGATTCGCGGTTCGCGGGCCACTCTAAACAAAAAAAAAACAAAACCAAAAGAGCTCCAGACCCGACGGAGATGGGCTCTCATCATAATCATTTGAGCCGGAATGGCGATGGCGTCGGTCTTATGATGATTGTGATTGGTGTCGCCTCACCTGGGGGCAGCTCACCTCCGTTCTGGTCTGGCACGTACGCAGATGCCCCCGACCTCCAGATACAAAGATACAAGATACAAAGCTCCACAGGCAAACAACCGAAATGGGAGGCAGCAGCCTTCTCTGGTACGTGGCATGTGAAATATGTGCAGAATGACTGAGGAAAACGCTCTGGAATCCATGAATGAATGTATTCCGGCTAAAACGAATATGAATGAATGCTCTGAGGCGGCTTCTTGGGGGCTTGAGGGGTTAAATTCGCACACGAGGCTAAGCTGCCATAGAATTAGTCGATTTGCGTGTGCTGGTTTTTGGCTAAAAAGCTATGGGAAATGGCTAAAACCATGCGACGACCCAAAAGTAGACAAGCGGCTTATGCTTGCTTTTGCAGAATTTTTGTAGCATACTTTTTGGAGAAATATGATTTCTCGACAATAGAAGAGTCTTTCATCTTTAAAGTTAAGACTATGTTTGTTTTAAATTTTCTTTTAAAGCCAACAAATAGCCACAACTTGACCAATTCTTTAGCAATTCAAACGAAAGTTTTTAATATTTGCCCAAAATCGTATCTTTTGTGTCACATTTTAACTCATATCTTAGACATCTTTCATCTGATTTCGAAAAGGATGACCATTAACGAATCAGTTTTTTAATCTCCTTCCAACTATACCAAAATATGAGAAATACATAATTTTTAAATTTTTACCAAAAATTTTAATCTAAACAAAAAATATTAAACCTTTAAAAACGGATCAAAAATTGACATTCAGATTTTAATTGGAAATTATGGTACTTTAAATTCCAAGACCTGGAAGGTATAACTTTTGAAGATCTTTCAAGTTTTAACCGAGTTGTGTACATTTTTCTACTTCAAAAATTAAGAAAATTGGTAAGTTTTTCTTTTTTTTTATTTGACCAAAAATCGATCTTTTGAAACACTTCGGAAAGCGTATCTCAACTATTTGATGACCGATTATAAAAAGTGATACCATTTATGAATCAGAGCTCTAATCCCCTTCGATCTGCACAAAAAGATAGGAACAATCTCATAATTAAAATTTCGGCCAATTTTTTACTAAAATCATGATGTTACCCCTATGAAAATTTTCGAAAATCGGGTAAAATTTTCGATAGGACAATTTTTATTGCGAATGATAGTAATCGAAAATCCAAGATCGGGAAGGTGGGACATTTGACGATCCGCCATGTATTACTCTAGTTATGAACATTTTCCTTGGGAAAAATAAATATTTACCAAGTGAATACCAGGAGAAGAGGTCTATCAGTCAATACAGAATCTTTTCAAACACTTTTTATCAAATTTCTTAGCAACTTCTCAACAGATTTAAAAACGGAATACCATTTTTGAATCACAAAAGTAATGAGTACCAATTTGCATTTTAAGATTCGAATGAATAATTAACAACATTTTTTTCCAAGTTACACACACTTGGCATTCCATAAATCATAGAAGTTACTTGTTTTCCAGTCATTTCATTTTAAAATCTAGTCATTTTAGTAAAACCCACAAACAAAAGACGTGACACAAAATTTCAATTGCTATTTTATAATATTACAAAAATTCTGTAAAATTTTCGATACACAATGTCACTAACCCCTGATGATGGCAAGGAACCGGAATTTTACCAACTGCAGACGTGCGAAGGCTACACCCTTGATGTGGAGACTTCTGTAGTGGAGCAGATGGGCACATTGCGTGATATGCTGTTGCTGGAGACCTCCCACTCCACCGAAGTAATACCGCTGTCGAAAATTCAGTGGTGGGTCTTGGATATAGTGGTCCAGTGGTGCAGATGGGTCCGGGACAGGAGTTCAATGAAGAAGGACAGTAATAGAGTCAAATATTTCGAAGGACTTCTCCGTGAGGGAAAGGACGAGGTAATCTTTCAACTCCTCTTGGCGGCCAACTTTCTGCATGTGGAGAGCTTGATGAAAGCGGCGACGCAGTACCTGGCCGATACTATATCAGCCTGCAACAGTGTTGAGGAAATACGGGATCGTTTCGACTTGCCGGATGATATCCCCAGCGACGAATTTGAAATCGATCCTTGAAAATCATAGCACAAATTTGTATTTGCCCAGAACTCTAAATAAAAATTCTCAATTTTTTGTAAGTAATTAAATCTTTATTAAATCTCAATTTTTCGGTGATTATTATTCATATTTTTGGGGATCTTTTCTCTGTGATCTTTCTGTTTCCTTGCCAAAACTCTCGCTATGCTTATTCCGCTACATTACTTAACTCAATTACGTTTTCTTTATACTCGTACTTGACCTTTTTCGAAAAGCATTCGAAAATTGTTCACAACATTTTCAGAGGCTCTACAAGTCGGCCCAAAAACCTTTCCTCAACTATTTCCATACATGGTGTTCTTAGTTATTGCTAAAGACCTTCTCGGCCTCATCGATTCATTTTCATGCTTCTGTATTTTGTTATTTGTTCTCGATTGCAGATTGCAACGGCAATTGCAAAAATTGGCAAAGATGTGTCAAAAAATAGGGAGTAGGAAGAACCAATGGCAGAAACAAAAAGACTGGTGGGGGTCGGGTCGACGAGGAGGAGTGCCCTGTCAAAAATCGCGAAAATCGGTATTCTATATAGCTCGCATTGGGTTTATTTTTGCTCAGGGGAGTTCAGAGGGTCGAAACCGACGACGACGACGACGACGTCCGCGCCTACATAGCTCTTCTGCTGTTGATCTTCATTATCGGGGTTTTACTTTATAAATCGCTCCATAGAAAAAGTGTAAACTATGCTATCCCATATTGATAGAGTTGTATAGCTTCAGCTTCTGCTTCGTCTCATATAAATAGGTGTATACATAAATGAATATATACATGAATATATATATTCCGATTCTGCCCGCCTTGTATAGTCATTAAATATATGTATAATTTATTTATACCTTTTGTCGTTTATCGTTTATATATATATTTTTGTATTTATATGTATATATGCAATTTATATTGCTTAACTTTGACAATGCAACGCTTTGAAGCAAGAGGCAGACATAGAGAGAGATTCAGATGCAGATTCAGATTCAAACGAGTTATTCTGGTTGATCGGATGACTTACCATACTATATATAAGTAGTCACCCGAAAAGCAAACGCTTCAAGTCTGTCTGTTCAGTTAGAAATATGAAACTTGCAAAGGAAGCGCCACTTTAATCATTAAACTAGTTATTTGTTTTCCCAATAATCTTGTTTTCTTCAATTAAGTTTTAATCTGTAGCTGTGTCTGTATCTGTATCTTACTAAGTGTCCTTTGAAACGGAGTTCATTACGTTACGCTTTAGTTTAACTTTAGTTCTATCTTTATGTATACCTTTAGTTTTACATTTAAGTTTAAATATTCACGAGCACGCGCGAGCATTTCAATTTGCATTTTCCTCAAAATTTACAATTTTCAGTGTTCAGTATTCAGTTTTTAAGTTTAGTTTATTCTTGACTCTTGTTTTTGGTAATTTTTCATATTTTCTTCTTGGTTAAGTTTACTATGTGGAATGTTTGAGTAAAAGTTTCAGTTTCTGTTTCTGCCTTTTTTTTCCCTGCTTTTACAAAATAAATATTCATCATCGGCATCGTGGCTGCTGATGTTGTTCCATCTGGTTCCGAACTCTGTACTCTCTGTCTCTAAAAGTTTACGTTACGTGACTTACGTCTTAAAAAGTTAATATTTTCTCCTTTTTGTTATTTTGCTTTTATCTCTCATCTCTCAAAAAACTTCGTTCTGGGTCCAACTTGCTTCAGTTTCAGTAATTTTCCTGATATTTTGTTGCCGTGTTTATTATACGAATTTTTTTTGTTTTGTCTCCATCTTCAGCTTGAGCATTCTTTCTGGGGTCTGGGGTCTCCGCGATAAGTTTAAGATATCTATGAAATTGTTCTTTCTTTGGCGATATGTATGTACATGTTTGAAAACTGAACTCAAAGTAAGAAACTCAGGCTGAAAAATAATAATCAATTCAAAAACAATCAATCTTTCGTAAACATGTCTTTCGAAAAATTTTAATTTATTCTCATCGTATTATCGTACTTGTATATGTGGTAGTTCTAACTTTAATGTGTTGTTTTCTTTACGTTTAGGCTTTATACAATAATTCATAATTATAAATGTAAAACATAATTTTCGTTTAGTGTTTTCCTTTCTGGTGTTTGTGTTAGTTCTGTGTTTTTGTGTTCTTGCTTAGTTGGCTTAATTCAAAAATTAAAAATGTATGGAAAGCAACAGTAAGTGTAAATTAGTGTCTAACCTTTAATGAATTTTTCTCAGCCGTATTTGCGTATGCTCTTGCAGGACTTTTATTTTAATTTAATTTATTAATCGAATATCATATCTGTTTCTCTTTTCATTTTATATAATATAATACATAATTGCCTTGACTGAAGTGTAACAAAGCGACTTAATGTTTCTACAAAAGACGAATTGATATTTTGATTTGCGTTTAAAGTTGACTTGGACATCGAAAGAAATTTATTTACACACAATCAACAAATTAAGATAGCGAAACATAGGGAACTTAAAATTAGAAAACCGAGCTGCACTCTAGCTGTTATCAACAGAGTCCTAATATTATCAATTATGCTCTTGAATGTGGCCTTTCCTCATATCATCCTTCCTACTTAAACTCCAGTTTCCTCTCTTTTTTTTTTTTTTTTTTGCTTTTTATTTGTTTAGTTTTTTTTTGTTGGTTTTTTAATTTTTATTTTTTTTGCAGTTGCCTCGAAAGTTCATTTTTTTTTTGTTTTTAATTTTTTGCTTTTAAACATTTGCTGACAATCTGGTGCTGCATAAAATACAATTGCTGCTTGGGCTGCTGCTGTAATTTGCCGGAAAGTTGCTGCCATTGCAATCGTCATGGCCTATGGAATCTGCAAGAGATGCAAAGTTTTGATTAGTTTTTTTCCAACTAAGACTATGGGCTAGAAAGTTGGGACTGAAAACCTGGCCCATGGCTCTTTAAGCCAGCCAGCCAGCTAAACAAAATCCAAAAGCCATTACACACTCGCCACCCAGTTGTATGGCCTGCCAGGGAAGTAGAAATGGAAAAGGCATCGCCGCCACCGAGTCCTTTGTGACTGCATATCGCCAAAATACATTTGTAAAGCGAGTGGGTTCGGTGGCAAGCTGCACGTGACACTTCACTGGCCATTGGCATTGCCAATTTTTTGCTTGGCTCACTTTTTGGCCATTCGATTTGGCCACAAGGACACGCCCGCTCCATAATTCAGCAGCCAGCACTGGGACGTCTCTATTGCGAGATTGCTTTAGTCCACCGATCCCCCCACGAGTGCAATTTGCAAAAACATTCTAGTCCTTTAATGTCCTTTGCCAAGTCCTTTTTAAAGACCAAAGTAAGAGCTCACCTCGTTAGATGACGACTGCCTTCGTGGACGGCCATCTCGGAGGACTTGAACTCGTTCAGCTCCTTGCGAATGGCGGCCTTGTCCTTCGGCGTCAGTCTTGTCCAGGGCTTGTCCGCCCGCCGATCGTAGTCGTGGGCCTGCGTCACCTCGATGTAGTCGTTGAACCGGATGATCTTCTTCTCCTTCAGCTCCTCGACGGTGGGCCGAAAACTGAGCTTGCGCAGCAGATACGATTTTTTCTCCTCCTTCTGCTTTTTCTCCTCGGCGGGTGATTGAGCTGTAAAATATTTAAAAACGTTAATTAATATTTAAACTAAATAAGAGATGTTAATACTCACTTTTCAAAATATTGCGCTCGACCAGTTCCTCGGCCGTGGGACGCATCGACAGGCGACGGATGAGTCGCGCCCCGATCGCCTCCTTGGACTCCTTGAGCTCGTTGTCGGTGACCTGGTGCAGGATGTTGCGGTTGATGAGGTCCTGCTTGTCCGGGCGCAGCTGGAGCTTCAGGGAGAGGGACTCCTTCCTGGCCAGCTTGGCCAGCCGGGTGTTGTCGTTGTCGTCGTCCCGGTAGACGATGTGTCCGTCGCTCTCGTCGCTGTCGCTGCTGCTCTCCCGTATCACAAATGGCCGCGTGTTCTCCTTGTTCTCCACCGTGCACGGCAATTGGATGTTGAACATTTGCTGCCTGCTGTGGGGGGAGAGGCACATTAGCACATTATGTCATTAGCAGAGATGGCATTAACACTAGACTACACACAGACACCAACAACAGCAATAGCAACATCAACATAAACGGCATAGTGTGGCAACCACAAGCGACAAAAGAATACCCAACTCATGCAGAGTCCTTCCACCCCTCTGAGCCGCCTCTAAGCCTTTTCATCTCTGCAATCTTGGCCAGGGCAATCTGCCAGATTTACCCAGACCCAAACACGCACACGTGCAGGAATAATATCCTGCCATGTAACATTTTATTCATGCCACAACTGCACTTGAAATAAAAGTTTCAAAAAAAAAGGAAAAGGTAAGCAAGAATAGTATGGAGGAATTAAAGCGGATTCCACATACAAGTTTAATATTTCCCATAGAAAATCCTAGTTCCCTACACTCTACTGTACATCCTTTTCTACGTTTCGTCCTTAAAGTTTTGTCACCAAACCGAAAAATCCTTTCCACCTCTTTATTTTGCCTTACTGTGGCTGCGGCAGTTTCGTTTTCCCTTCCGCTTTTCTCCATTTTCTTTTTTTTTCGTTTACGGCACGTGGAGTGCACATCTGGCCACCCCCCACCCACACACCCTCGCTCATGCAAATAATATGCAAAATACATGTGTGTGGGTATTTGACTTTGTACTTAAAGCTGTCGGGCTGTCGGCTCGGAGCTCCGAGCTCGGAGCTCGCCTCGAATGCCATATCCTGTTGGCTGCTTCCGCCGCACTTTCGGGGCGTTAATGCAAAACACGATTGGATAAAAAGTGAACAAAGCTTCGCACAGGGCTGGATGCTGTGTGTACCACACGGCGGATGAGTGACATAGATAGCATGCCCTGGGGTGGTAGTTCCATAGCAATTGTCTCCGAGGAAACGCCTGGCAGGAAGCAACTACTTTTTGTTTCGATTTTAAGCCAACAGTTTCTTAAATGCACAACAGGAATTACGACAGAAAGTTGGCGACCGTGACAGAGCTCTCTACTTATTCGATCTGAAAGCCCAATATTTTAGAGCCCAGGCCTTGGCAGTCACTCCATCCCACATCGAACCATTTAACCCCGGGCAGAATGGCTTTATAGTGCGGTATGCCCCATAAATTGTGCTCGATTGCCTTCGCCTTGGCTCGCATTTTATGATGGGAAGATAGATGTGTGGCCTACAGTATCTGCACTATGTGCTCTGGCAGGAAGAAATCGCTTTCCCGGGCACGTTGCAGCTATTTTACATATTCCGCCCTGTGCCCTGCCCTTCTATTTGATTTCTGTGCGTTATAAGCTGCATGAATTGCCTCCAAGTGTGTCTCCTGCCATCCATGCGAATTTCAATTTCAATAGCAGGCTCGCTCGTTTGAAGCGCCCCTGGACTCGGGACCTCGAGGCAAGAACTCTGACTAATGAAAAAACTTGACCCAGACTTGGCCGGGAAAGTCTCATTTCCTTTGTCTGTTTTCGCTCCTTCTGGCACTTCTCTCGAATGTGGGAAATATCAAATTAAACAAGCAAATATTCCTGCCAGAGAGGCCCGGCCTGCCAGGGGAACTAAATTGTAATTTGAAACAAATTCCTGCTTAAGATGAAACATGCAGGACGACTCAGAGGGCGAACAGAGGCAGTAGTTTCACAGATACACACTCACACTTACATATACGTGTATGTGTATGGGTATGGGTGTAGGTAATGGAGAGGACTCAAGTTTGTGGTGGCAACAGAAGAAACAAAAAATAAAACTCATAAGAGGCAAACAACGAAAATCGCAGAAGCACAAAAAGTTAGTAATTTAATAACAAAAGTGTGCCCGTTCTGTTGCTGTGCATGCCAGTGTGGGAGTACTCATTCGAGAGAGTGTGTGTGTGTGTATGCCAGTGTTGTAAAAGTTTCAGTTTTTATTTACTCAAACACAGAAAAAAAGAAAGGAGGAAAAACTCAAACAAAAACACTGACGGATGAGTGTTAGAGTGCAGCAAGTGCAAGGATACAATGGAAAAGTGTGCTATTTTCGTTTTTTGTTCTGTGAGGGACAAAGTGGATTATTTTTCAGAGGGACCTGGGGGAGTGTTACATAACAACAGTAGTAAGGAGTAACATAGAAAGAGCGATGTGTGGGGTTGCACTAAGAAGCATGTTTGGGTTTATTTTGTTTTAATTTTTGGTTTCTGTTTTTCTTTTTTGGCATTACAAATAAATTATCTAAAAATTGTTTACCATAATCTAATCCGTGGTCGTAGTATTGGCCTGATAGTTCGGTTTGTTTAGTTGAGAGTAGTAGTAGTTTTAGTAGATATAGAAGTGAAGGGTTTGGTTGGTTGGTTGGTTGTTTTTTTTTTGGCGGATTCGACACGCACACACAAACGAATCGGAATCGGAATCGAAATCGAATTGGTTTATGAAATATATATGTAGTATATATAGTAGAACAAACACAGGTACGAGGTACGGGGCGGTCGGGGGAGAGCAGAAGAGAACAAATTCGTTATATAGAAAACAGTAGTTGTGTAACAATAAGAACATGTTTGGGTTCAGAGTGAGTGGGGGGTGGGTGGGGGTTATATCTTTTGGTGAGTTTTTCTTTCTGACTTGAAAAGTTGTAAACACACCAGAGAGACAAACATAATCTCTGGATTGGGAAAAGAGGAAGAAAAAATCTACCAAAAAACGTGTGGGAGTCAAAGGTTGTTAAGGTGTAAGGGGTCAACGGGGAATTGAGTAAAAATAACAAAAGTAACTACTAAGAGGTGACTATCTTGCGGTTTAAGCTTCGGAGAAGATTCCTTAAGAATCTTATTATTAAACCGCAAGAGTAGACCCCCGCTAGGACATACTGGCTACTTACTTGAGCGAATAGTTGTTGCCTGCCGCATCCTGCCGCACCACCAACGGACGCTGGCTGGCCGACTGCTGGGCCGCTGCTGCTGCAGCTGCCGCCATCGAGCCGATGCCGCCATTGCTGTTGGAAATGGCCGCCGCGCTGGCCGCACTTCCGGCGGCAGTTCCGCCCGAGTGCTCCTGGGTGGGCGTGACCGGCGTGGAGGCCGAGGCGGGCATGATGCCGCCCTTCTTCTTCAGCGCCGACTTGAGAGGAACTGCATTTGGTTTGGGCTCTTTGGCTGGAATTTCCTCAACGCGCTGCGTGTCCATCATGCGCACGTGGTTGCCCCCGTAAGGGGCGTACTCGTCGTCAGAGTCGAGCTCGTCCTGATCGGGATCGTGATCTGTTTTGGGGGATGAGACTAATTAGAATAGATACTAGGAACTAGGGATCATGGGAAGGTGGGGGGGAATGCAAGTTTCTTCTATTTTATAAGAGGGGGGTTGCTATATAATCTTGAGATATATAGTTTTCGAGCATAACTTATGAGGTGCGCACTTTTGTTAATGAGCTGAGGGGGGTTAGCTACTTCGAGGATATCTGGTGGGGATTACGGGATGGATGGGGGGGAATGGGATTTACCATCGTAGTCGTAGTCCTGCTGGTAGTCCTGATCGTTGACGGCGCCTGGCCCGTGCGGTCGTCCTGCGATGAGCGTGGGGCTCGGCGTGGAGAACATCGGCGGCGGTGGGATCGGTCCGATCTCCGAGAGCGGTATCGGGGGCTCCGGCAGCTCGCTGAGCATCACCCCCGGGGGCAGCTTCCCTCCGGGGTACGGGGGCGGAGTGCTGCCCGGCGGGCCACCCACCATTTTTCCATCTTCGCCATCTGCGGGGCAGTGCAAGGTTTCATTTTTGAGAAATCGATTTTTGAAAGCGGAAACGGATGTGGGAGGTAGAGATACAAAGGGGGAAGAGATAAAGATATAGAGAAGACAGAGAGAGAGTAAGTGATCAGCTCGTCCTTGAGTCTAGCCAATATGTGTGTGAGAGTGGGTATGTGTGGGGTGTGAGTGTGTGTGTGGGTGGGTGAGAGACTAAAGACCATCTCTTTCTGGGTAGAAAAGTAAAAAGGACACTCTCGTCCTTCACTTACACATGTGCTCGTTGTGGTAGCAGATGTTGACGCCGCGACGGGTCAGCTTGCTGGCGCCGCCCAGCGTGTTGGGCCTCTCCAGCTTGCCGTCGACCTGGTGCAGCCCGCCGCCGCCGGGAGGCGGCAGCATCGAGCCCTGGCAGGTGGGCTGCTCGATGTTGGGCATCGATATTGTGCCATTGCCGCCATGTTGTTGCTGTTGTTGTTGTGCATCAGTCTTGTCTTTTCTTGGTTCTGCAACAAAAAAAAGGGGGGGGGAGCATGAGTGGAAAGCACACTAATTTATATTTAAAACGAAAATAAAGTAGTCCAGTGACAGTCATTGTGTGGCAGGACTGGCCACTTGACAAGCTTTTACTTTAATTGTCGTGTGCAGGGCTGCCCGCTTGGCGGCGAGTCCTTTTGGGCTGTGGCAAGTGCCCGGCGGCCAGCTGGTCCTGCAACCACTCGAGTGGCCACAAAGTAGTGGACACACACATGCGGAAAAAATAATGTAGTACGTTGGACTTTACAGGACACGGAGGAAAATGGGGGCTTATAGGATACAATATGTTGTATTTCAGAGATGCTTTCTAGTTATTTTAAAAGGTAATTTTAATTGGAAGACACTTTTAACAGCGAAAATATTATTTTAAAAATAAATTATAATCATTTTCTATATTTCTTCCCTCAGTGCAGTCATGTCCCTGCGTTTATTTCCCTTTAAATTCCTACTAGAGAGCCGTATTTTAAATTGCAGTTAAAGGATTAAGCTGCCACACTGCCTGGCAGGAGACTTGCGGGTCAAGTTGCGGCTGGCAGGTCCTCCCTCGGGCCGACACGGCATATGCGCATTATTTTCTTGTTGAACTCGAGCTGCGGGAAAAACAAACCAAGAAGTCGACCGGAAATTGCCCGAGTCCCAGTGCTTATTTTTAGACATTATCCCACCACAGAAAGTGTCTTATTTTCGGACTATTTGGGCGAGTGGCACGCAATTAAAATGCCACCCTTAATAGACGCCGACAAGATCGCTTACCAAAGCAATTAAAGCAGACATTCCAAGCCCCGGCCCCGGCGATCGCTTGACAGACAGCCAGAAGAGCCGAGCAAAATCCTGCGCAGTATTCTCCATCAAGACCCAGAAACTGGCGGGCCAACAAGGTGCTGGTGTAAACAGCGAATAATTTATTGAATTTTGGATGCAAGTGAGGGAGGCAGGAGTGGGTCTGGGACTGCATGCCAGTCGGGTGGTTAATCGCACGTAAATAAATATCAAAGCGACTAGCTACGCAGGGCAGCTCTGCTGTGCGCCAAACTATCTGAAACAGACACGAATTCCGCTGGCCCAGTGCCAGATGGACTTGACGTGTTTGCCCAAAATATGTTTTTTAAACAAAAATGAGTGAATATTCGTAACAGCCGGTGGGAAGAGTGCTGAAGTAATGCGCTGATTATTTTTCATGCACCAAGTTCAAGCATTCGGAGGGAGAGGCCTTGACTTTGACACAGGTATGGCAGGTTGTTTATTGCATACTAAATTATAATATATTCTGAATGGAAACTACAATTCAAAATCAATTATGCAAATGGAGATGAAATGCCGGCCCATTTATCAATTAGAGCTGTCGGGCTACGGCTTGGCCTTATCCTTATCCGATGAGAGTCCTTACACCTCGTTCTCCGCAGACTGGCAATCTTTTCGGAGAAATCTCTAGAGACTTGCCCAAAGTTTTCCTCTATCAGACATCTGTGGAAACAATGGCCACTAATGACATTAATTAAGCACAAAGTTTGGCCTCTAATTAGCAAACACACAGAAACACGACTCGGCCAATTGCAAACACGCCTCAAATCATTATCTGGCCGGCACTTGGAGGAGAACTCTAATCAATTATCCTTGAAGTGGTCTGTCTGGGAGGCAGTCTCCTTCAAGTACTTGGTGCGTGGGCTTCCCTCCTTCTTGGGCTTTAAAATCATTTATTTAAAACCCTGTCATATTTGTTTTTCAAAAACATTCCAAACCGTCTCGCACTCCGCTCAAGTTAATTAAAGTTTTCCCGCCACAATGTGATTGCCTGGCACGCATCCCGAAAATAAAGTTTATTTTGTTTATGATTGAGGGGGTTTGGTGTGTGTTTGGGGTGTGTGGGCGACACTGTGACGTCACACGGGATTTGGATTCATGTTAAACGTAATGCGGGGATTTATTTATAATTCATGCAGCCCTGCCGTTCAAAATGAAAAAAACAAAGAGTAACTAATTGTGCGGCCACCCACACAACCACAGAGAGAGAAAAGGTATAGAAATTTTTTAAAATAATAATATTAATAAAATAGATAATAATAGTAGTAGTAGTGGAAAGAGTAGTCAACACAATAGTAGCTAAACGGATTAACCATATACCCTTTCAAAATCAATATCCTTTAAGGACTAGTATCCTTTTTTTCACTTTCGCTTTCAACAAATCAACAAGGAAACTGAAAGTTTGGCTCTCGAGGAGCAAGGAAAGGATCCTGTGACTGCAGGCCATGTGTGGATATTTGATAAATAAGCAATGAGCCTTGTGTATTTGCGGTGGGGCGGGGGCGGCAGAGTCTGTACAGTCGTCCTGGGACTCCCCACTGCAGAAGGCCGCAGGCAGCAAATTTTCATAGCTCATTTTCAGTTCAGTTTTTTGCATGGCAGGATCTGCCTGCCTGCCTGGTAGCCTGCCTGGCAGCCGTCAAAGGACATTTGGGGAATACATGGCAGGATATGTCGGAGGCGAGGAAGCAACGGGTTCCTTTGGAGATTGACAGGCCCAGGAAAAGTTTGACGTCACTCGTCTCGACTCGACACACAACGAAATTACATTACTCATACGCCATGTGGCCGCAGCAGTGGGAGGAGGGTTGGGGTAAGGGCGTGGCAGGCATATCTCACAACAACACGTGCATGTGACTTGGCGAAGGCGAAGCTGCATCTCGGCCTCCGAAAACTGCTAAAATTACAAAGCAGCATCACGTATACGACCCGTTGCTCAACTTGGCAATTACAAGACTTACCCACCGCCCCCCGGGCCAGTCCCTGTCCCAGTCCCATTCCCAGCTGCAACGGCTGTGCAGGCCTTAAATCAACACTCTGTCACCATTCGTTAAATTTAATTAATGCTCCACCACACCACCTCGGCGGGGCTTCGGTGAAAAATTTGTGGCAAGCCGAATAATTGAATTCATATCAGCAGGTGCGTGGGCAGCGTGCGAGGTTATCAATATTTGATTCAATTAATTACCTCATTTGTGGACTAAATGGATATGGATCTCCTTTAAAGGTCCTTTTTGTTGAATTTTCCCCTTGCCTGGTCAAAGGATGAGGGCTTTTGCATGAGGGCTGCCTCTTCAAAGTTCACCTTTTTCTATTTGTCATCCGCCATTTGGCAGTCTCCAGTCTCCGCCCGGGCGGAAAGCGTGCTCCACTCGAGAGTCTTCCACACGAACAAGTGCACTCGACAATGGCAAGTGAAATACAGGGAAATTGTTTATGGCCAGCGAGTGGTTTATTGAATGGAAAGGCAGCAGCCGGAAAAAGGGTTCTCCTCGAAGAAGGACGCCAGGCTCACAATTTATGACCTTTCACCTCCGCTAAGCTGTTGCTTCTTACACGGACTTCCATTAGCGGGCCAATGAAATCCCCACCAGACACGCCACATTTCACTCGACCTTTGACCTTTCTATGTTTACTTTCGATATACTCGAATTAGATGTATATATTTATAGTAAGCGAAAGAAATGCCAAGCATGCCGCATAGCTGAGGATTCGGTCCCCCGGGGCCGTTGACGAAGACGCCACGTTGCCCCACAATTCGGTGGCCCGGGCTGGCCGAGATTGAAATGCGTTTGCCATTTAACAGGTTAATGCAAAAATAAACACATCAGCCAGCCAGCCTGCTGTTCGACTGACACGGAGAACAAATACCTGCCGTACAATTAAAAGTTTTACGCGCCCATTTCGCCAGAGGCTGTGTAAACAGGCGCCGAATTAAAAGGCGATTAAAAATAAATTAAGTTTGCAGGCAATTGTTAAAAGCCGAAAGGCAAACATAGCGCTCCTGGGCCGCTGTAACGTCTGACTTCAGAAGGTTTCTCTCTGTCGAAAGGTGAAGGTCGAGGTCTGAGAGGAAAATATTTTTGATTTCTTACCCATTAGTGCTCAGCCTAGGATTTGTCATCGCAATGAGATATTTGGGGAGGTGCTAGGGGGAATAGCATTCGGAGGTGACGATTGATGGCCATTCGAGTGGGTGGCTCTAGGGGATGCTGAGAAACAACGAAATCAATTTATTTTCATTAGGATTTGAGATTGTTGTCTGTTGGAATTCCTCAGATGTGAGAGATATATTCAAAATCACTTAATTGACTTTTGCTCTGAAAAGTGACAGAAGACAGAAAAGTGTCGGATATTCTGCAGTTGAGACGCAAATGACGATGATGGTTGTACATTAAGTCCTAATGACAGGTCGCTGCATCCTATATCCCAACTTGGCGGGCATTAATGTCGCATTGTTGCCTGGGCCACAAATCTCCCAGAATTTAATACGTTTCTCGCCGAATTTTATTTTCTCAATCCACAAGCTATACCCCGCACGTATTTATAGACTATATAACGCCACAGATTTATGGGCTGGCCGACCGGGCAGCAACAACACTGGTTCTACTTTCTTAATTTGATAGATGAAATCAGCACTCAGTTATGCAGGAATCGGCGAATGAAAACAAATGAGCATCCGAGGGCCGAGAGCGTATTAAATAAATTCATTTAAAGGCCGGACACTGGAAGGTGCTTGAGTCTCCCCCTTTGCTGATTTATGGCCCGCCCCGAAATTGTTGCATATCGTAAAAAACGAGGCTCGGGAAAAAGCATAAATAACATTTAATTTTGGGTGAACTCGGGGAGTCAGTCGCTCCTTCTTCTGGCCTGAAAGTTGATGAAAAGCCCGCCCGTTTCGCCCGCACAAAGGATGGCTCGAAAGAACAAAATAATACCAAATAAAATAAAAATCTACAACAGCCAGCCCACCAACGAGCCTGCCTGCCAACCATCCTTCCAGTTTCAGAGAAAAAAACAAAAAGTTATGCCAAAGTTGGCAGGCAAGTTCGAAAGGTCGGCGGCAACTTGAACTGCGGTTTTCGAACATAATCAAAGACTCGGCAACTTTACGAGCCGCACACACTCGACACATGGCCAGCCACCATTTTCCGCCACCAGCCACGTC